AAACTAAAATTAGATTTAAATTAACTTGTACGCTATTTTTTACCTTGTTAATTTGTTAATTACTACAATTAATAAAAAAATTCAATTTGTATTTTTTTTATTAAAAAAAAATTAAAATGTGCATTGTAGACGAAAAACAAAGTGACGTCTTTGAATTTTGATTACTTTCTAATCACAGAAAACACATTTTAAGTAGTTTTTTTCAATCTTTTGAGTATTAATAGAAATTGAAGTGAGCCTTTTGAGTATTGTTATTCATTGAAGCGAGTGAGTTTAGGTCATAATGCCAGATCTGACTGAATTGCATGTCTCCCGAGCTATCGCTTTGCTTGAAGAGGGTCGAACTATGCGTTATGTAGGAAATGATCTAAGAGTAGCCCCTTCTGTTATCTACAGACTTTGGAAGCGATACCGTGAGACGGGAGAATACTCACGAAGGCGTGGTCAAGGTCGAAAGAGAAAAACTACACGTTTGCAAGATCGCTACATCGTCAACTGTGCTTTACGTAACCGCACCACAACTGCAAGAGATCTACAAAATACACTAAGGACGGCTACTGGTGTAGAAATTTCCGACCAGACGGTAAGAAATAGGTTGTTGGAAGCCAATTTGAGATCACGCCGACCAGTTCGGGCTGTGCGTCTAACAATTCAACATAGACAAGCTCGCCGACAGTTCGCGCAAAATCACGCTAATTGGCAACTTCGACATTGGAGGCCAGTGCTTTTTACTGACGAATCACGATTCCGTCTAACACGTTGCGATGGTCGTCTCCGTGTTTACAGACGCCCAAGCGAGCGATACAATGCAGCAGCAGTCCAGGAATATGACAAATTTGGATGTGGCTCTGTGATGGTTTGGGGCGGAGTTAGTTTGGACGAGCGCACAGATCTCGTCGTTGTTCCCGGGCGCTTGTGTGCTCAAACTTACAGTGAAAGTGTGCTCGAAGATCATGTTTGGCCCGCAGCATATGGTATGGGCCCAGATTTTCTTTTAATGCAAGATAATGCCAGGCCGCATACTGCAGCCATCACGTCAGATTACTTACGACAGCAGGAAATCCGTGTAATGGAGTGGCCTTCCATGAGCCCTGACCTAAATCCAATTGAACACATTTGGGACTTGCTTGACAGGCGCATCCGGAAGCGTCCAATTGCACCTCAAACACTGCAGCAGCTCACTGAAGCGTTAATTGAAGAATGGGAGCGAATTCCACAAGAAGATATTCGGAGGATCATACGAAGCATGCCGCGTCGTTGTCAAGCCGTGATTAGGGCTCATGGAGGCCACACACGTTACTGAAAGTCACTAAAGACGAATATTCAAACGATATAAGAATATTTCTTTGATGGACCTTTTTATCACCAATTAGTTTTTCGTCTACAATGCACATTTTAATTTTTTTTAATAAAAAAAATACAAATTGAATTTTTTTATTAATTGTAGTAATTAACAAATTAACAAGGTAAAAAATAGCGTGCAAGTTAATTTAAATCTAATTTTAGTTTAAGCAATAGAAAGGAGAAAAATCTTTTTCCGCTAATTGTTTTGAGCAGTATATATATTTTTTTTATTGATAAAAAGCTTGCCAACGCTCGGCACACTGACACATTGGTAAAAACAAACACTTTTGTGTACAATTTTTAATGTGACAAACACTTAAAGGCAAACATGACATACATGTAGAGACTAGAGATCATACAAATATCAAACCAATTATTATATATTAACAAAGACAACTTGTAAACTTACCAACACAGAGAGAAAGAAACAGCGAAAAGCAATATGTATAATACATGAATTTTATCAGCGTCAAGTAGTTTTTGTCCTTATCAGGTGCAGGTATCGGAAAGGTTAATAGGTAACTTCCAATGACCAACCAACTAACAAGTTTCTGACTTGGGTTAGTTGGTTGGATATAAATGAAATCGGTATGTACCGAGTAATGACGTTGCTAAGTTGAGCCATTTTTGGGTAAGATATAAAGTCGATGCTTAACACGAAGTTTATACTCCATTTTGTCAAATCCACATTGATACACTCGACACAGATACGACTTACTGTGAACTACGACTCCTGGGTGTCAAATTCCTAGACATTTTTGTCGTAAGGAAGACAGACTTAGTGCTAAGTCTAGTTCTGAATCCTTACCCTTACAGGGACTAAAGATAAATTAATAAAGGTAAATGTACCTTAATTAATTTAGAGAATATAATTAGAAATTCCTAATTAATACCTGCCAGACACGGGTAACTTTACCCAGACGCTGTTTATATTATGTAATATATAATTATAAACGTTGGTTAATTCCTTGCAACTGTGTCTAAGAGATAGCACATTGGCCAGTAATTGAAACTCGGACATCTTTGATATATCGGCTCTTTTATCGGATTGGATAGACGCAATAACAGACTGTTGATTGCTTCCAAGTGGACTCGGGAGATTGATTATTTTCTCGTTACGCTTCCTATGTCCCACTATTGTTTACGCGCAGACATTTTCTCCCTTTCTTTTTGAACACAATGATAGATGACACACGTTGATACTCACCAAACCTTTTTCGACAACTAAAACTGGTATTATTTGCCTCGCTGTTGATATGTCGTCGTAGCGAGCGCATGTAGGTCTTAGAATATTTTAAGAATGTAAGCGAATACCACTTAAGAGACTAGATATTTTATCGGACGCTCAAAAGGATTCGACAATGTTATACTCAAAATCTCGCTTGTAGTAAAACCCTTATCGGATACATAAAATGATTTTGCTCATAAAACAGAACGCAAAGTTGGGTAAAAATATTGTTACAAATCTGAGTAAATAATAATGCCAGACTAACCTTCCGTCCGTTGCTATCCAAAGCCCATAAATAAACAGAAACTGGTTGCCCTGTTGAAAAGTTGGGTAAAAACTCACAAACGTAAAATTTATAACCTCCATCCAGATGTGTTTTAATTATCCGGAACGCGTAACCAAATGTACCGTTAATTTCTATATGGCTTAGTGGTTAACATGGTGTACTCGCTAGGACTTCAGTTAGTGAAATAATAATCGTTGGTAAGCATAGAAAAAAAATGAATTTAGGGGTAACAAGCGACAATTAATACGTTTAACAACTTGTTCAAATCGAACACGGATTCGCAATTCGTTCGCCTTACATTAAATCCGAAAGTTTTGTTTGTTTATGAAGAACGAAAACAAATTTGCATATATTGTTGAGCACATGCGTGAACAGAGGAGTGTTAGAACGAACTTGTTCGTATAATGAAGACGAGTGAATCTGGCAATCCGTCTTACCTCCGCCGCAAACTTGAGAACCGCACCAAATGGTTTACGAAACTTGACTTCACACTGAACTCCTTTATTCCCCAAAATATTCATGATTTCGCCTTGTTAGTATATTATTACTTTTCACATATATATTATTATTATTTTATGCCTTTGTATTATTGAGAAATAGATTTTTGATGTCATGTAACATTTTTCTAAGGAAAAAAATCGGCTGTCTGTTAAGTCGGTTTAGTGACGATAGTTGAACGTGACAACGTCATAAGAAAATACTGATGGAATGGTTGCATTTTTCAAAAGAAAATTTTGATTTGAGTTGTTTGATAGATATTTTGTATGGATATAGAGAAGGAGGTAAATGGAATTAATCGATACAATAAATATAAACGAATATGCTTTATACATAAAGATGTCGAACGCTGCCGAACGCGGAGGCCGATTGTGCCTCTTTGCCGCTCGTTCCGCGCTCTCGCTTGCACTTCAAGACTTAAATGGAACGCCTCAGAGCGAGGTAACGCCGCATGCGTCATGTTTTTTCGTGCGTTCAGCCGGCTCCATCAAATTATAAGACGTTGTCACGTCAAATTTTTTCGTAAGAAAATTCGTTACACATTCCGCTAGAATTTGTTGACATAATGTTTCTAAACCAAATCAACTGTTTTAATATTGATGAAAATACTACTATAACGACTGAAATCAATTGTTATCTTAATATGTATATTGTATATAATTAAAATTCAGTAATTAACCACTTTACACATTTATTCATCATATTTTAGTTTATATTATAATATATAATATACTTTTATGTATATATGAATATACTTCTTCAAACGACTGGACCGATTTTGAGGAAATTTTTGTGTGTGTTCAAGGGATCTGGGAATGGTTTATATTCACATAGCCCGGCAGATACAGTCGGTAATTTCATACTTTGCTTAATCATCAATCGCTTTGATAAAAATGAAATTTTTAACAAGTAATTATTTACATGATAACCAAAATAATGTACAAATTTTTCAGAGGTTTTCATTGAAGTGACTAAATAATAAGTAATTTGTAAATTCAATAATAATTTTAGTTTAAACATTTAAAACAATAATATTATTTTCACAAAATACTGTATTACCGAGAAATTTTCAAAAAAAAAAAACATACAATCTATATATTTACAGAACAATACACAACTTTATATAATCAAGCAATTTACAATTCTCATTTTTAAATAATTTTAGAATATATGCAGTATTTATGACAACATTTAATGTCTATATAGTTTTATTTACAATATAACTATGTTTAATGCTACATATTTTTAATATCACATCCATATATAGATTTATCTACTTGGATCTTTGTGGATTCAGAACTCCGAGGATCGTACCGATTTTGAGAGTCTATGAAATATGGGACCTTTCCGACAAGTTACTCGCGGAATTTTTTACTGCAAAATCACTTAGCAAACCGATTAAAGTCTCCTGCTGTTTTCGAAATTGGTATTAGAATGAATCGCGATTTTTTGCTAAAAAGATAATTAAATAACTAACGAATCAACAACATTACTAACACATTTGCCATACAAATTAAATCTTAATGAAAAATCGTTTTTGAGAAAAAACTCCGAAATCGAGAAATTTTTCGGAGTTCTGAGCATTCCTACAGTAAAGTTGGTATTAAAAATGGTTGTTAATAAATATAAAATGTGTGTGATTCTTTAATACCTTGTAATGTAAAATACTAAACTAACAAGTATTTGTAAAGTAGACTTAATCTTTAAATTAGAACTTTGATTAACACTAGTTTCCGAGTTACTCATAATCTTTTTGATTTTATTACTTACGTTTTGTTGTACAGAATTAGGCGTTGAGTCGTATAATGATCTATTATAATTTTGAGTTATATTTTCAAACATATCAGTTACAGCTTCGTCTTCATCATCAGATCGTTCAGCTGACCCAAATTGATTGTCAGGTCCCTCGATTGGGGTTGGGAAGTCGTCGCCCTTGTTCGATGGACTAGAGTTGTTTATAACATTTCTTGTTATTCCTGATGAAATAGGTATTTATTTACATTATAATTAAAATTACTAAATAGAATACATATTCTTATCAATCAGATAGTCAAGCATAGTTTCCAATAATACTTCTTACAGATTTTAAAAATGAAACGGTTTTAAATACAATAAAGTATATATAATATATTATATATATTATAATAACACTTAACATTAATAATAATATCCTTTTTTACCAAGATATATAACCTGACCTGTAGAGTGTAGATACCCATATCTCAAAAATTACGGGAATATTATTCGTTTCAGTTTACGAGAAATTTGTGGACAAACAATTATTATATTATATACATCACATACATTTGGAAGTCTAAATATGTAATCATACTCAAACATTATCCAATCCCAAACTGACAACCTCCCTTTTATGAAATAATAATTTAAAGATTATCTTTTAAATAAAATGCACCTACTGCTTATATTACGTTATTTTATTCGTGTACTATTTATTTTAAATGTAGTATTAAGTTCACGATTGCTCAATTGTTTATAACAATAAATTGGAAAAATCTATTGTAAGGTTTCTTGGTTACGGTTGTGACATAAGGCTATAGACCTGATAATAGTTTATAAAGCTTTCCACGCTTTAGATCAGTGTCATCATACTTATAACATTAAGCGTAAGTATAAAACAGTTTAATATAATTATGTAAAGCTCGAAATGAAGTACGCAAATGCCTGTATTGGATCTTAAACCTGCCTTATTTATACACGATTGGATATTTAGGTCATTCGATGTTGCAATAATAGCCTGTTGGTACTATTGCAAGATTGGAACAGAAATTATCGTGAGATTAGTTGGTTTTAGAAGTGCACATATATAACAGTTTGTATTAAATGTTGTTACTTTAGTGACTTTAAAAACTTTTCCAATAAGTTTGTAATATAATATCGACCTTATAAGGATGATTCAAGTTCCTACCATATTAGAAGAATACTAACCATGGTAACGAAAACAGTTAACTCTACGTTTTATAATAAGACAGTATATAATATTAGCCTAATAAGAACTTAAGAACGGTGTTGGCATAGTAGCTTGAACTTGCGACTCCCATCTCTAAGGTCATAGTTTCAAACACGGCTGTGTGCAAATACTTTTCTTTTTATATGCATCATACGATGAAGAAAAATATCGTGAGGACACCGACATGCCTTAGATCCAAATCTGAAGCCAAGGCCAAGGCAGTTTTTGATAAGAATTAATTAAATATGATAACATAACAGAGATTGTAAAACCTAGCTAAAATAACATATACTATATTAACACAGAATATACTAGCTGTTTTCGACTATACTTATAAAACATACCATAAAGCCGTATGGATCCATCGACTTCTCCCAGGGAGTTCTTCGCTATGCACTTGTATCCTCCTAAATCGTGGTCCGTGATGGCTCGTACCACCATTGTCATACGGCTCTCAAAAGAACTTAGTACTGTAGTCGTCACTTCGTACTTGCTGGATGATATCACCATATCATCTGCAATAATGTATAGAATAGTAGTAGTACAAGCGATTCAGTATATTCCTGCAGGGCTACTCTGTATAGCCGAGGATTATTTCCAATTAATGGCTTAATAATTGGCACTATCTAACAACATGCCGATACCATTAATTAAGACCTTAACTGAAATCAGAAAATAAAATGAAATAAAAATCTTGCAGGTTTAATAAAAAAATAATTTTGATGAATTTCCATTGATGTTTATTAGTTTAATGGTAGTGAAGTAAGAAGGAACAAAAATATGTTGTATCAATCTTGGATACCTTCTTAATCTGAGAACGAAACTAAGTATGGTCGATTGAGAAATTGCAATAAAGAAGCCATAGCTTGTTTTTTTTTTTATAGAACAGAACCGATGATTTGTCCTACATCGTTTTATTAATAAAACTATCCAAATTTTTTGAGATTTTACTTTACTTTATAACTACATTTTTGTTTTAAATTCTTAATTTGTACTCTATTTATCTTTTGCCTCTGCATACAGGTATTTAACTAAAAAAGGTGCCAGATGTTTTTATGAGATTAGAATAAGCGCAAACATTACAAAAACCTTCACATTATACTTACCAAAATGTAATGTTAAACTCAGATTGAGAGATGAGCCGCTGCTGCGATTTTACTATTACAGAATCAGAGTCTTTCCTATTATGTTAATAATATGAGCTACAAGTTCATTTTAATGCTATGTGAGTGATTTAACATTCTATTTCATTTCAGGACAATGTTTTTCATGTAAACCTTAAATAGTAGCAATTTGCTACTTCAGTCGAAACAATTCAGTACTGGAAGCTTCGTAAGCTCCAGTGTCCGTTGTCCGCAAATGATAAAGAGAAGCTCCGGTTGAACGCATTGTGCTCGTTTCAAATCTTTTGTACTTTGGCCCCTACAGTTTTACACAAATCCTGCATGGAATTACATAATATATAATATTCCAGCGATGCGTCTATGCAAAGTTACTAGAAAATTCTTTATGTTAAGTTCGGGGTTCTATCTCATTATCAAAATTGACAATAGAATATTTAAATTACAATATGCCTTGATTATAATCATATTCGAAGTTTGAACTTATCAGACGCAGAACTTTAAAGGAAAAGATAAGAGCGGCAAATGTTTTGCCTAATCTTAATTTCGATCGAAACTCCAGTTTGTTTACTCTCCAATGTTCTCGGCTTTACGACGTGCGCAATGATGGCCTTCGAACGAAATTAACAAGCCTGCGCCTCCACTCGTTTCATAACAAGAAATTTCGTCTCAATTAATGTCTAAAATAACACTGTAACACTCTTAATTACGCTCGAGTGAGGGCTGCTTAATTAACACTTACATGTCAGAGGTCCTAACATAGATTGATGACAAACGAAAATGACAACCTTGTACCGTTCGCCCTTTGGATACACGGGGGCAGAGTAAAGCGCAAGTCACTTCGAGCTCCCAATAAAACAAAGGTTTGATCGACGGCTTACTACGCGGCCGCGACCCTTTTATGATCGCAAACAACTTTAGGGCTTTAATGCGTTTTAATAATTAGCACTTTGGCGTTTTGTTGTCATGAGTTATTCAAATTTGGAACATGTGCTTTAGTTCCTTTAAAACGACTGTAATGTCCATAGAGTATTTCAAAGAGTAAAATGCACATATTTAATAATTAGCACTTTGGCTTTTTGTTGTCATTAGTTATTCAAATTTGGAACATGTGCTTTGGTTTCTTTAAAACTACTTCAATGTCCATCGAGTCTAAACAGTATTTCATAGAATATAAAATCTAAGTATAATGCACATACAAGACAACGGTTTCTAGTAGGTGTGAATAACAATGCTTGAGGTAAGTATCGGCCATTCAAGTTGTTATGACTGTAACGAGCTCCCGAGTGTTTTGTAAACTGTGTCACGTAATGGAATAGGAGAAAATGATGCTTTTCAAATGTACCAAAATGTTAAGTTTGAGCGCTATTTAATGTGCTTTGTGGTTATGTGAGAAAATGCTATCTGTTTCAGATTTGAAATATAATACTGTTTTACAAATATTTTAAAATCTCAACGAACTACGAGTATATACGTATATATATATATATATATATATATATACTAGCTGACCTGGCAAACGTCGTTTTGCCATGTATATCATTTATAATAAAAAATAGGGGTTGATCGTAGAAGGGTGAAAATTAGGGGTTGTATGTATTTTTGTATCCTGTATCATAAAAAAATTAAAAATATTTTTATCTAAAAATTAAACAAAATAATAATTTAGGGGTACTTACCCTTAATATTTTGGGGGATGAAAAACGATTATCAGTCATACCCAATATGCACACAAAATTTAATGAAAATCTGTCAAGCCGTTTCGGAGGAGTTTAACTACAAACACCGCGACACGAGAATTTTATATATTAGATATATATGTTTAAATTTATCTCAAAGTGTTCTGAAATGAATTTTGGCTATATTATTTTAAATATCACATTTATGCGATAAAATTATCCGTATAACAAACATTCTCTACCAATCAATCATTTACATAGATTTATCAAAACATCTAACGATACGCTATAATTACGGAAAATCTTAAATTGAGTAACCTATTCAATTTTATTGCAACTCCACAGGGTCTTCCAACTGCTCGACATCGTCACACAAATTGTTCCCCGTTAAAATAATGCGTCACACTTGACCGGCTAACGAACCCCTTGAGGACCTGGCACTCTCTAACCTTTTACATTAAAGTGCCGTCATTTTGTATTGTCACTGAAATATATTGCCTTAGATATTCTTTTTAAACCCGCAGACGTTATGCCTTTTATCATCGGCGATCGAGCGTATCACAGTTATAAGGCGCAGACCTAAAACCGTAAAATAATAACGAACAAGTTTTAAAAATATAATTGATTGGAGCGTTATTGAATTAAAAATTTACAAAACTGGGTCCGTTTCGTATACTCTACAGAAAATGGCGACTTAATACTTTAAACCGTGAAATATTTAAGTAACTAAACGATAATGTTAACCTAACCTTTTACTAATAAATAAAAATATATTGTCTACGCGTCATAGAATGATTTTTCGGAATTTGGAAATTTTAATCTTTACTAGAAACATAGATATAAAAAAAAAAAATACTGGCCTACAAAGTTATAAGGCAACGGCGGCATTCATAACAACTGATTACTTCCAGGCAATCTTTTTAAAGACTAATTACATAGTATTAAAAAAATACAAATGATGTATGCTTCTTTTTATCAAAATAAGCTGTAAATTCTGTACAATTGAAAATTAACCCGTAAATTTTACGCTACAACTGCTGAGCTGAAAACTTTCTGAAACCGCCGTCGGCTATGCGAAGAAATATTATGAAGTAAGTCTGTGTAATCTGTAGCAAGCATACACCAAGCTTTTCTTGTGCAAAATAAACTCGGAAACTAGTATTTTTATTATATATTCTTATTATGTTTGTATTGCAAACGAAAAAACATCTATGTAATCAATATTTATTATATGCAGCAAGAATACATATTTAAATAATATTTCTAAAATATACTATTTTGCATTGGCAAGATTTTCGGAGTAAATAAGTGCGTATATACAACAAAAAACAATATCATCTGAAATATTACAATTTCGTGAATATGTAATAGAATGATTTGGGGTTGGTTACGTGCGCAGATTTTCTTGACACATTGTTCCGACTAAAGTATGCTGCGAAAATGTATTATTTTATTACATAACTTTAGTTGGTTTATTTTACGCCCGAATAGGTGCTAATGGATATTTCAGAGTGAATCCCAAGAAGTTTTATTATCATTCCACAGTGGTAAAGTTCCAAGATGTTATTGGAAGACATTCTCGTTTTATGCACTCGAGATTACGAACCGCAGCTTCCGTGACCAGCTTGATTATTGAACTATCCGCATTTTATAGTTCTACATTTCATCTCGACTGTACGCTTTTGTTTTGAAAATTGCTTGTAATATCCAACATAAAGAAGAATGGACTAGCATTTAGGGTTTCATTTGTTTTTAATGGATATTTAGGTGCAGTTAATTCTAAAATTTCTTGGTAGTTATTTTAAAACTATGATTTCATTAAAGTGAATGTCATCATTTCAATTATGCGTAAATGGTACTTTTATTTAAAATTAAATACGTTAGCGTATCAGTGATTGTCTACGAATTTTCTAATTTTCACTGTTTTCGCAGTGGACGAAACGGAACCTCTCAAAAAGTGTTAAGCCTTTCTCGATACATGGACTAGCTAACATAAGATTTTAAATCAAACCAGTAGCTTATTAGATTAGCGCGTTCAACTAAACCAACAAACACTTTATCATATTATTAGATATTAAATACAATTAAGTCCAATCAAAGCTACGACACAAGAGAGACAAAACTATATATATATATATTATATTATATATATATATATAACCAAGACATTGAAGAAACTATAATAACATTCCAATTGATTACAATGCGTGAGTTGGGCTTAAGTCTGTTCGTAAAGACAACTGTCAACTGAGAAAACAGTATAATGTGATAAGTAAACAGTTGTAGTTCATTGTAAAGCGATAGAGTCACGATAGCAAGCGTGTCGGTCTGTCCAGTTTCTTGAGCGGAAACTTGGCGAATCAAAAGCTTGAATAGTTCGGGAATGTTTGATCCGCCGACAAAACTTGGCTCCGGCTTTCAAAACGTCTACTAAGTATTCATAGCTAACGTAACACCACGTTGGATAATAATTAATTTATATTTTGTATATCAAATATTGGATGTGATTTGTATTATACAAGCTAATTATATTTATATTATTTCTAACTCACAAATATACAGTACTTACAATATTACATAGTAATAGTAATAATAATTAAAACTGATAAATAGAAAATTAAAACAAATTTAAAAAGTGTGGTCCCCGTGGTAGTGTACCTTTAATGCTGGCAGCTTTCCTCACTGTATTGCAATACTTGTTGAGCGAGGAAAGCACCAGCTCTGGGGTCATCGATACTATCTACCAACTTAAATCTATAATTAGCGCTTGTGCACTTGAACCCCACTGTCCAAGAGTCTCTAATTAAAAGGGCACAAAATCAAAGTTGGAGGAAAGACTTATATTTGAGCCATTTATTATTTTCTGCGTGCTACGCGGCCGCGCCACTTTAAGTGGTAGTAGCACAAGTACAAGCTAATTATTTGTTTTTACTTCTTAATAAGTTCGGATTTATTACAGTGTTAATGCATGGTGGTGGTTGCTTACGCGGTATTCTGATTATGCAGACATTAGCCGTCCACGTATTAGGTTACGACTTATCGCTTTAGAATTCCCGTTTGTCAAATCAAACACGTTATTGACATGTGGGAGTTATACATAATATACATAAATCAGTCCAGATCAAACATTATTATATGGTAATTTATTACATTATATTTAACACATCGTTCTCATTTCGAAACAAGCAAAAATTTACGTCATAACACCAGTCTTACTCTTTAAAAGAAGTAGCAGGTTCGTTTGAGATAATAGAGTGTCGTCTATATAATACATTCTTAAGATATAAATTATGAAACCTTTGTTGAGTCCCTCCGGAGGAGTCGTAAACGCCACATTCACTGAAGTGGAACTAATAAGCATTGTCTTATTTTACCACAATAGGTCACTTTTCTTAAGTCTTTAATGTCTTAACCGTAAATTAAATCTAATATCTCATTACTTGCAAGATAGGCTCCGCCCAAGATCGTCGCTTGCCAAAAAACTACACTAATTTGAAACAGAACGCGTGGGTTAAGGAATTTAATTAATCTTATTGAACACACTGCCTTTAATTTATGCAGATGCTTATTAAAATAACAAAGTTGCGATTAATTTATACGAGTGAATAAGTGCAGATCAAAAATTTATATAATTTGCATACCGAAGGCTCCGAAATCACCGTAAAAATTAGTCAAAGTTACAATTAGCGTTAATGATAATAGAGGTCGTTGTCATGGCAACCAAGTGATGGACTCCCGAAGGCACAATAAGCTCGCATTAATTAAGCCGCTAGACACGAAAAGGGCTTTCTTGGAGCATTTGGCGCTATTATTTTTGTAAACTTGTGAGAAGGATTACTGAAGACAGTCCAATTTCTTTTTGTATGATTATAGGATAGTCTTTATACCCTAAGTATATTTTAAGGTTTAAATATTTTCATCTACCTTATTATTTAAGACTTAACATGTTTTCTTCTCCCAAAATGACTATGTGAAGTGAAATTTATACAAAAACTAGTTGATTTGATAATTGTAATTCTTTATATTATTTTATTACATGAATACTAGTCAGCATACTAGTGCCAATGGACACCTGCATAATTCCTGCACTTCTCTTCTGGTCTTATCTCTACTATAATCCAAAAATAAAATTGACTTACTTGAATCTCGAACCCAGTAATTAATGGATCTAGGCGAGGATTCGACGTAACACTCCAGAGTGACGTCGGTGCCGAGAGGCGCTCCTACCAGCTGGTTTGGGACTTGAATGACTGGGTGGACTGTAACCAATTAAGTTACGTATATTTGAAGGACAAATTAATGAAATTTAAACCAAGACGAAAACCCAATAGGACAATCAGTGGATTAATTATTATACGCTTATCTAAACAGATTTCTATTGAGTAAACCCCGTAATAAAAAAACAATATGTTATAAACAATGAGTGCTGACATAACTGGTAAGCGCCAAAGACACAAACGTTGAGACGGTAACTGTTAACTCATTCAAATAATATTTATATGTACAAAATAATATAATAAACCTGTTTTAAAGTAATAAATATAATTTTTAAATAAAAGGTTGCTCTTTATTTTCTATTTTGACGTGACAACGTCTTATAATTCGATGGAGCCGGCTGCACGCACGAAAAAACATGACTCATGCGGCGTTACCTCGCTCTGAGGCGTTCCATTTAAGGCTTGAAGTGCAAGCGAGAGCGCGAAGCGACAGAGAGGCACAATCGGACTCCGCGCTCTTCAGCGTTCGACATCTGTCTCTCTCCTACTTGAGTGATCGATTCGTGACGTTGTCATGTTCAACTATCGTCAGAAAACCGACTTTACAGACAACCGATTTTTTTTGGTATGAAAATATTCTTCTTAACATTTCTGTTAAAGCTATAACGGTTTTTACAGCGAAATATTTACCTAATAAATACAAAACTAGAGAGCTCCCGACGATAAATAAAGCAATTACTGTAGAAGCCTTTTAAGCGGCGGCCAATTTTAAATTAAAATAAACAATAATAATAATGATATGTTAATTGGTTTTCTATTGTTGAATCAGCGACGGTAAGTATAATATACCATGGTTAATATCACTTTAAAAGCTTTAACATTAAATTTATGGTAGTAATAATATTTCGTATTTCGGTAGTTAACATTCTTAGAGAGTAGGGTGCGTACGAACTCTGGCTATGTACTAATTAATTTTTCTTTCTTTTGCAACTTACACTCGCTTGTGTTGCGAAAGAAAGATAGCACCATAATTATTATAAATCTCGCATGCCCAAAACATGATAGGCACAAATCTTCAATTTGATGACCTACTTGCCTAAAAAGAAGAATAACCAAAATAAATGAAAGAATTCTACCCCAACGTGAAAGGCTATGTGCTTCCTACTCCTACGCTATAATATCTTCTGGTACTCCAGTTTCAATACTCGCCGTAGTCGTAGCAGAGGACAAGTACAAGGCATTGGTAAACCTTTGTCTTTAAATACATTACTATAATCATGGATCCTCCAGAAATGTACCGATATCATTTGGCAGCGCTACTTTCTACTATCATGATGATAAAATATGTTAATCTACAAAGATATAGCTACTTTTAATTAACAACTTACAGTGCACTTTAACAACCATCCTCTTGCTTACAGATGGCGGGACTCCATTGCTTGCAATACAGAGGTAGGCACCCATATCAGACCGGGATATTTTATTCAGAGTAAGGATTTCATCTTCATATACAGCTACTAGTAAGAATAGAAATACTTTTATTAGTAAACTAGATAACAGGAAGTTATAAACATTGCTATAAAAAACCTATTGACTATTAAAAATATAATATTCATATTTTTTTCTTGTTTTTATCTTCTTATTTTAAGATCATATTAGTGCCACTCTTAATGCTATAGAATAGAAATGTCATACTTTTGCTTTTGCTGCCATTTGAAAACCGTATAACAATATCAGAGCCATCCTCTCTCCTCCACATTATACGTGGTCGGGGCTGACCTCGAGCTCGACATGACAACTTGGCTGTCCCACCTTCAGGTATCATGACATCACTTGAAGTTTCTTCGGCTATGAAATCAGGCGGGACTACCACATCAAGGAATCCCATCTACAAGAAATATAAAGGAGTTTTATTGTCAAACTTAATTTTAGTTTCTGTTATACAGTGTACCAAGACAGCTATGAGAATTATACAAACCAGTTTAGAGTTTGAGAGAACTAAAAAAAATATATTTTGCTACATCTGGCATTTGGCATCTGATTAATTTATTTCTACTCATAAAAGGCTTATTGCCAGTTCTTCTCTTCCGTTCTACGTCCTTGATTTGAGAACTGGCAGTAAATGCAAAATTAGAAGCATTTAATGTATATTTCTGTTTTGACGTTCATAAGTGTACATTGTGTTACCTATATGAATAAATGATTTTGACTTTTAACTATTGCCTGATTTCTGGCTGACTAAAACACGGTTCCCACGCGATGTTTTCCGTCACTGACCAACCAGAGAGTGGCGAGTCTTAATTGGGCACATAGAAAATTCCAAAGGGTAAAGGAAGGATTAAGTATTCAACATTAGAGTTGAGAATCGCAATATATGTAGCATCACCATATTTTACAACGTTATTTATAATTAAATTTTATCTGAAAATTTTAGTATGATGTATGTGTAGTATTAAATAAATTCTGAAAATAATACCAAGTAATATTTTTTACTTAGCTTCAGACTGTCAATTCGCATTAGTGGATAGGAGGAATTTCATTATAGCTCCACCACGTTGAACACTAAGGTGAAAAGAATTACGTAATTAATTAAAGTCTGAACTATGAAAAGTTCTTTTATTATGAATAGTTTGGTTAATTTCATGAACTGTAACTAACTAAATAACCGCTTAAATTTTAGACGGGGTAGGCAAAACCATTAGAATTCTTAACTTACTAATCAATTTAAGGTATATTTGAAGTTATACTTCTTTAGTCGCGTTATGAAAAATTGATGAGACTGAAATTACGATGCGCGCGCACCGTGACACAAAATTAACAGAATGAAGTTGCCCACGGAAGATACTATGGCATTGGACATAATTTAAAAACAACATTCGAATAATAATAGAATTTATGTTACACTTAATGTAAGAGAATAATAATAAATATTTATTTATTTAATTTTTCAAATGTAAACTGAACTTTATTACTATAATGGCTCCTTTTCCAGGCTTTGATTATTTAATTGTAATTAATTATTTGCATGCAATCAAAAACTATTTTTAATAATGCCAAAGAAGTATAACTTCTTAAGCGTGTACATAAGTACAAGCACCCTTTTTTTTGTACCGCCTTAAATAATATATGGAAATTCAAAGCTGACGTAAACCACGGTGTATCACTAGCAATTGGTATTTTAATGTAAGTTACATAATCATAAAACGTAGCCGAATTACCAATAACATTTGCAAACGACGGAAAAAGTCGATATAATATAGTAATGGTACTCCATTCGTATTCGTATTTGCGTGAATTGGAAAATTTTCAAAATAAGTAACTCCTAAAATAGTTATATATTAAAAAGTCAATTTGTGTGCCTTACGTACTACGTATGTATCATAGAAATTTGCACTAAAATCCTCATTGCCTCATTAGCGCACATAAATTTAAATTTAAATTTCAGAATCAATTATTGGTGTAGCCGAGACCGTATAGGGAAGTTTTCAGTTTATTTGAAAAAGTAAAATCGATGGCAACTCTGCTAATTTCAGAAAGTTACTTACATATATTTAATATGTTCTGTTTATCAGTTTATAAAAATATTTTTTTTAACATTGCGTGAACTGAAGGGTCCGTCTCGTCGCGCGTAGTCTCCGTGAACTCTATCTCCAATGTAATTACATTGTTTATGATTGGTATTCAGAATATAATGATCTGTATATTTATCATTTCATTAGGGTAGGCAGTGTTTTTTTGCCTTTACGAAGAGCATATTTATTAAAGTAATTGCCTTTGCTATAACTAACTTAAACAAACCGCCTCTTTGTTTATGTGTATTTAACAGACCCGGGAAGTTTGATCATCAGCAAAACAATAATTGTTTTAAGCATAGTAGAAGTTTTATAAATGTATTGATATAAAAATAATTATTGATTTCAATAATCTATAAAAAGATGCAAAAATATGTCTGCCCAACTGAAGTGTTAAGGGGTTCCAAACACGTAAACAAAGTAATCAAGAGAGCGATATATCGGTGGAGTCCATTTCAAATACTTTTTATAACACATTGCATCAAGTGGCGTCATGCCGCGCCGACGCCGCCGTCGAAGCCTGCAGCTGCACTGTCGGCAGCGAGGATTTATGCCGTTATCACACCCGGGTATAAATTACAACGCAGCGCAATAATTTAGGAGAACTATACACGAATCATTACCCGCTGCGTTGCTCGCTCTCCGCCCGCCTGTAGTTTAATTCACTTTATCTCTCGGACGGTTAATGTAATCGCATTTTCTTTCAATTTATTGACTCCAGTTTCATTTGGGCAATTTTATGAAATGCCCACATGCTTTTGTTGGCTGATTCACATGCGTCTCGTAGTTTTATCCTACAGAGCTATAGTTCCCTATTTGTTTAATTTGTTAAGTTTAGAAGGAATAATATATTTTATGTAAGCTATTTATGTATCTAGATGGTCTTGATCGTGACAAAATGGACACGATCAAAATGAAAACATTGTGAGTAAAATTTTAACAGTGCCTAGTGTAATAAAGTAAGGATGAATGCCAAGTATTGCCCGGAAATGAAAAGTCAGTGGAAATCTTATAGCACTTACAAATTCATTTTGTGGGCATGGATGATGAATGACGTGGCCCTAGTATTCGCACCAGTTGACATGTCACACAACGGTTTTTATATTCACGGGGTTTTACATGCCGTACCTGCAATTATTATCGGCATACCCTTAATTTACTCGGAAGTTTGTGTGGCTCAATACAGTAATTCCAATGTAATAACAATGTGGGATTTTTTCCCTCTATTTCGATGTGTCGGATACGGAACGATATATTTGGTCATCCTCAAAACACTTTACATGATGGTTCTAACTTCTTGGTATTTGGAGTACACATTTTATGCAGCTTTAGACCCTCCTCCGTGGTTTTCTTGCGATGAGTTTAAAGAAACGAAATGCATGGTTAAGCGAATCAACGTTTCCATATTTCAACATTGCATAGAAGCGCAAAATTTATTCGACGACGACTGCGGCATGAAAACTGCTAGCCGATGCTTTTTTGATAGAGAGATTGGTGACAATAATACGCTTCAAAAGAATTGTGTACACGTTTGGAAAATGGTAATGGCTAGTTTTACTTTGGGCGTGGCTTATTTTATTCTATTTATGAAAATAGAGAAATGCATTAAAGTTGTGGTGAGGTGTTTGGCAATTTACGTTGGCATTGTAATTTTCGTTTTGTTTTGTGTCGCATTGTCCTCCAGCGGCACTTGGTACGCAACGAAAATAACTATGAATTGGAGTGAATTCAACTATAAACATTGTTTTTACACGTTCACGCGAGGTGCTCTATCCTGCGGCACTGGATGTGGAATTATTGGTTTTTTATCTCGAGATGTTTCATTTCGCAGCCCGGCCACAATGACTTCTGTTACTATTTCTTTATTTTCCGTTTTCATTTCGCTGGTACTCGGTCTTATAATTTTCAGCGGAATAAAGACGATGTCGTACTATCACGGCGAGGAGGAAAGTGTATTGGAAATGGGTGAAAGCATGTTTTTCACACCGTTTGCCTCTGTATCAGAAATTATGAGTTATTTCGAGACTGTATCTATTTGGGGATTTCTATGGTTTGCGTTAGTATTTTTCTGTCTTTTTATGAACTTGTGGATATTGATATTATTTCTTAATGACATTTTATATTATAATATTAAATTTGCTCAAAAGTACTCAAATGTTTGTTTAGCTGGATTAATAATTTTGGTATGTATATTATCTTGTCCGTTCTACTGCTCCGACCTTGCGAGCTCCCTTGCAGATTCGTCTGAGATTATTCAGCTGATAAGTAGTTTTTTCTTTTCTTTTGCTATTTATTGGATTTACGGATACAAAAAACATAATATTGATATCATCTTTATGATAGGTGTTAAAGCTAGTTGGTTTAGGAAATTAGGGTGGATAGTAAACCCTATCTTACTGGTATTAATGCTTTATATAAAAGTAAAGAAATTTATTACAAAAGATTATGAAAATACCTATATAATAAAATCAATTATGGTGCGCTCAGATTCATTGCTAAGTTACATTTTAGTCACTATTTACATATTAATTATTTTTATTGCACTTTCTATTGATATCCACCGTCATTATTTACAGTCTAATTTGAAGGGATTGTTTTTCCCAACTGAAAATTGGGGTCCACGAGATAAAATTCTATTTAGAAGTAGAAATATGTTTGTACCAGAAATTATGACTAGAGAATTTTTGTATCGTCAAGTTAGGATTCGGGGCTATGGAAGAAGCATAAAACCTGCGCAAAAGAAAACTGATAAGGTATTAGAAGAATTTTCAATCGATAAATTGGAATGGAGTGCCTTAACCTCTAATTAAAATATTATAAACTTTACAAACCACACCTCTTTCAATTTGATTACCAAAAGAAATACAATATTATGTTTTATCTTGATTCATATATAAAATCCTGCGCTTTTGTAGTTAAACTTCGGAAACGGCTTCCCTTTTCCTCTTTTTTTTTTTGTGTATTGGGTTACCATCACATTGGGTATAACTGAGAATCGGACAACACAATTTTAATCAACACATGTGTTATTCTTAATTTTAATACCTTTGAATTGAAAATATTAATATAATTATTTATTTAAAACACACAAAAAATCATAAAAGCCCTGGGGGCACAGTCAGGAATAACCTGTGTTAGTTCTTCTCTTAAGAATCAATTCGGAGAATTTTTAAATTAAAGTATCAGATCGCTCGCACAAAAATAAACTATAATAGAAAATAAAGCAAAAAATATAGTATTGATCTAAATTATTTATATCAAATTTATTACCTTTATACGTTTATATTTGTAGAAGTGCAAAACACTTTTAGAATACCTATTTCAAAAATAAAAGGTTTTATATAACATATAACCAAGTAAATTTATAAACGTAAAGCTTTACCTGGCTTTTCATAGGGTCGGTATTGATTTGGCACATATATTGGCCACGGTCGTCCTCCTGGACATTTCTAATGTGCAGATTCCATACAGTCTGGCCATTATGTGACACACCCACCCTATGGTTATTTGTGATTACGTGGACGTGTATCGCTTGTATTGCCTTTGTATCTGCCTTTACCCACCCTACCTGCAAATTTTACTGTTATTACTATTGTACATTTATTGGTAATTTTGTAAACATGCATTTGTTAGAAAATAAAACACGTTGAAAGTTTTCTTGGTGCTCTTATTAATTAACATCTAATTTTTTAATTTAAAAAAATATCTACCATGAAGGATTAAAGTTGCAAACAATTGTGTAGGAAATAAAAGCCAAATACTATTTCATATATTTCTTAAAAGATCAATTGTATTTAAAAGAAAAATTTCAAGCATTTCTTGGTCTCTTGGACATAAAAATTTATATCAAAAACTATATAACCTAAGCTTTTATCAAACATAAGCAAAATAATAACTCACTCTATAGCCGCCCAAGTTTTGCACTAAACATCGGAACGTGGCGTCCCTCCCAATAGGTACAGTTAGGTTTCCTATCGGTTCAACAAATTCTGGCTGAAATGCTTCACCTAAAACAGGCTGTACTTCAATATTATTCTAGTATGATTAGTCTAAAAGTTATTCAGTGAACTTTCACGTTTGAACTGTGTACTAATTTCAATACATGTCCATACAATGTTCGTCACGTTGATTTGGTTTTATGTTTGTGTACAACAAAAGTTTCAAAATATTAAAAAAACGTTTTTTACGAAAATTATTTTAGATATATTATCATAATAGCTTCTTATATAGTGCTATTATAACATCTACCATTTTTGTATACACTTATATTAAAAAATATCTCAATGCTAAATTTAGTTTTTATCATAAGTTTTTAAACGTAAAGTCACAGAAAGTCTAAAAAATTACAAGAGTTTCTCATTTTCTAACCTGCAAGTTTCGAATCTAGTCCTAATAAAATAATAATAACGAGATACAGAGACCCTCGTGAGTGCTTCTGGTTTCCACACATGATTGTATTTGCCCATTGAACTTCAATGTTCATTTCAACCTGAAAAAGCCGACAAATTCTACAAATTTATATAACAAAAATTGCGTTTAATATTTTTTTTGTTTTTTTTGTTAATAGGATTGTATTTTTGAATATCTGTTACTATGAGAGATAAAAAAGCTTAATGAAATTGTGTGCGCCCCGTAATAGGGCGGACATATTTCAATGGTTTTTGTCCAATGAGATGGTAATATACAAATACTAAAACAACGATTAATTTGCCTCTATTTACACGATGCCTCTAATTAAAGCCATGGAAGTGACATAAGAATATGACAGTTAAAGCAGAATAATATTCTGCTTCTATGAGTATATTATAGAAACATTACTATGTCTTTTAACTGGCATAATAAAACAAATAAACACAGTTATTGAAGCGACTTTATTAGACTCTTAATATTAAAAATCCGCTTTTAATTGCTTTCCACGATGTCCATAACATTAGCACTCTAAACATCACCGTTATTTGCATAATTGTAGTGTACGAAGAACACAGAAATGCTATTTGTTTGCGCGATGTTTTTCCTTTCACTTAATGGCTGTGTATGTACTTTGAAGCACTGAGGGTTGTCGATTGAAAATGTGTTAAAGGGAGGATGCGATCGCGCACCGGTAACTACTGTACGGTGATAAAGCCTGAGAAAAATTCGCGGCATAACCCTATCAATATGACGTTTGGTGAACATATTGGAACTGGTAACGGTCTCTCGCTCGCTTCACACATCTTTATTGAAAGAGTTTTGATAAATATTTAATAACATGGAGATTGTGGAATATGCATCTTTTTAGAACTTAAAGCTTACTTGTTAAAGTCAAATTAAGTTACTATTTGGTATAGTAACTACGATATTCGTGTTTTATCTGCTTTTTTAAAAATAAATAATTAAAAATGTACTTATAATATACAACACAGCACAAAATAGCACCAAATAAAATAAAACCATAGTAGGATTAAATATGTTATTTTAACTATTTAATACTATTAGTTTATTATATATTAATAACTATTTATTATTATAGCTCCGCGTGAAATCACAGAAACGGTAATATCCCTATCAAGTTTCAATAACAATTTAAATTAAATTATCTCCATGTGGCATACAGAGAGCTTTAATTCAAGATTGATCATTAATATATAGATATATAATAAGCATAGCGGAGATCTATTTAATTCAATTTGAAGGCAGGTCACCTATATTAATTGCTGAATATTAAAACGAAAATAAAAAATTAGGAAGGAGTATAAAGAATTTAATGATATGTGGGGAAAATAATCACCTTACTTATAACTTATTTGAGTTGGAGTTTTTATACGAACAATAATTGTGGTTTGTCAAATTGTGTTTCTACTAGACATTTCTAGCCTCGTGTACAGTATAAAATGCCATGGAAAAGCAGGCTAAATTGTCTGACTGAATACAATGTAAGCTTTGAGTCCTTTTACTTAGGCAATGTAAGGCAACGCCAATGAAGTCGGATGCTCTAATTGTTTAGACACTTCTCAGCTTTAACCGAAGCCGGCACCGCTTCATATAATTAGCAGAAAACCTTAAATTCCATCTAACCGGAAGCAAATATTTGACTTTTGATTAAGTTAATTAAAGGGAAATTATACCATTCGTAGTTCAAAGATGTATACTTTTGAATAATTATGCCTTAATGTAATGATAATATTTAATTAATCTTATTCTATTGACCATAATTATATGTTTTTTGTAGTGATAGATATGATAATGTCTTAATTTTTTTATATAACACACAAGACCGTTTTTATTTTGGTAAATGGTTTTGTATTGGTAAATAAAATATAAAGAAATAAAAAAAAACATGCCTAATAAATCGTAATATTACTAAAATAAGGACTTAGGACATGCTTAGTTATAATAATTACTTATGCTTAATAGCTTTATTATTAAGATTTTGAAATAACTGCGTAGTATCCTATACTCTACGATGATAAGACATCTATAAATAATTAATGTTCTAACATAAATTTACATTTAACTATACATTTATTTACTAAGATTACGTAATATATACAAAAGTTAACCAATAAAAAGACAATTAACGTAGTCTATTTTAAAATATGTTTGCTGAAACATTCAGTCTATTACATTTTAAGCCCTTAAATTTTATATCGACAAAAAATAATAAACTTATTTCTTATTGAAATACAATTAATGAAAGATTCGACAATCTAAAAATATTAATGAAACATTAACCAAGCAAGTTACCGAACGATAAGTATTACGAAAGTTTATCGCGATAAATACACAATACTGGCTATTAAAAACAATGTTCACTTACCCGTATAATGTCGCTGATAATTTAAAAATGTAGAGCTTTTTCTAAAGTTCGTAAAGATGCTTTTTATTTCTATACCGCGTGATAAGTTTGAGTCCCCGAGGAACGTGCGTTCGGCGCTCGAGAGTTCGTACATACTGCAGCCGTTTGCTCATTCACCGCGTTCTCCTATCGTTATTCTTACGCAGATGTCTATAGAAATCACTGTGCTATTTTATATTGAATGTAATAGATTGTGTTCGAGATCCTAATGACATAAAGAAGCAGTTAACTTAAAGTTATTCATACCGACAATGACTTGAAATATATTTTTTGATAAAATAGTCATCGGTAGACTATAGGATATTTATGTAGTTATTTTAATATAATTAAGTGTTGTTCACCTGATCGTTAATTAATATATATAATCTAATACTGCTAAAAGCGATTAAGGTTGTAAGTAATTGAAAATTTGTACGAGTCATCTTCAGCTTTTATTATTATTTTTTATGGCTTAGATACGGAAGAAAGATAATTTTAATCTATGCTGCTAATTTGAAAAGTTATTAATTGACCGTTTTAAATATGCCGTCATCTGCTTGGTTAAATATTAGAAATTATTGAGGACGTACCATTAAACGCATAATTACTTAGGCTTACCCTTATTAAAATATTTGAATTGAGAGATCTAAAACAGTATTAGACTTGCAGCGAAAAGCATTGTGGTAAATTAAATGTGATATGTCTTTGGCAGTGCAAAAGTTCACCATCTAAACTGAAATTATAAACGGTATTTTATGAGTTTCGCCGTTATTCAAATACATAATCTACTACCAATTTAAAGAGGAAAGATTTGTAACTTGAAAACTACAGAACAGAATTTAAAATTTTCTCCATTAGGTTGCTACATTATCCCTGAGTAGGTACCTAATATATTTAGGTTATTATTGAATTTACATCAAATATTTTAAAATATAAATGTCCAGTCGCTCGAAGCCGGAGAGTTATTAATATAAGTTTACAAATAATTTTTTAGACAACTCTATTAACGTCAGTCTATTGCTACAAATCGTGGATTTTTTAATACAATGTCTAATGCACTATTTGCCTAAACCACACATGTATATGTCCTTTTACATACTATAGAAATGCGAGTGACTATGCTACTCTAAAACAAATATCCAATTAGATCATGGGTCAATGGAAGAGTTATGTAACTACCTAGTGCAATTGTGTACTAAACATTCTATACAATACAATCCCCTGCATAAATGGCTGTTCTCAATAGATTAGCGACCGCAACGGCAAGAATATTTTTTTAAAATTTTAAGATAATTTTTATTTCGTGATGAGACATCAAAATTCTCTTTCAAAAAAACAACATACAGATGAAAACATGGTTGTTTAATCCATGTTTACAAAATCATTAAATTTATCAGTTTTATTGTTTCGCAGGTTTTTCATCATTATAACCCTCGTGAAAGTTTTTCATATAATTCCAAGGCGATGCTAATTGAAATTTACGGAACTCTTGCGCATACTCGACTGGTTCATATACCAGCTTTTTAAGTTCATCATCATAGCGAACCTCAGTGTAACCAGTTAAAGGAAAGTCTTTCCTCAGAGGGTGTCCTTGAAACCCATAATCGGTCAAAATTCTTCGAAGATCCGGGTGATTTATGAATATTATACCAAACATATCATATATTTCTCTTTCGAACCAATTTACACCATGCCACAATGAATACGCAGATTCTAGAGGCGTAAGCTCATCTGTATACGTTTTAACTCTAACATATTCTGCGAACCTCAGACTACGAATAGTGTAGGCAACTTCAAATCGGAATGCTCTACTAGGCACATCTATGGCAGTTGCAGCTGATACTGTACTGAAGCAAGCGTTATGGTGAAGTTTAAGAAAGCTTAGAACTGGGTGGAATCCTTCCGGAGCGATGAGTATTTCTAATTCATCTGTATGCTGCATTTGAATTTTTTGCACGTACTTGGGCATACAGGCAGCAACATATAAGCCGAATTCGTAGAGTCTTTGTCGCCGATCATTGTCGTGCTTACGTAATGTACGAGCTTCATATTCTATTGGTTTCAGACAAAATGGATTACCAATCTGTACGTCTCCCTGCCCTTCACTTTTGTTTAATATGCGATTGTTCAAATGGATCCTACGTTTGAATAGTGTTTTAGAAACTTGGAAAAATAAAGGCGCTAGTCTGTTCATTCTCAACAACTTAAGTGTCACACGCACATCAGCTTATGTCAGTTATGCAATAAGGTTAATAGAAATAAGGTTCATTCATGCTAATTTTCTTGAATGTCTCATATCAATTTTTGATCCGGTAAATCTTAAAATAATCAATAAATTTAATACAAATATCAATATTTGTAGTGCTTTTTATTACTTTTCTGTAGTAATAAGAAATTCCGTTACAATGAAGGGAATGGGGCAGACATATTTTTGCATAACGTTATATTGATTATTTTACGTTATATTTTCAGAATGTTGTATCTAATTTAGGACGTACATTTTTGGGTCTGAGATATCATTGTTGTTCTCCATACAAAAAAGTTTATTGACTCTTACTCGTTTCAGCAGTGACATTATAGTTATATTTCGATGTAAATTTCAACATTAAAAATAAATTATTTTAACTAAAATTGAAACAAGACGTATCCTTCTTTTTTTATGAAAAATAGCTTACGTACAAGCGAGCAGATATTATGAACGTCCAGAAATGTGATTACAGTATAAATTGCAATGCACTTAACATCTAGCTATATCAATTGAGGTTTCCGAACATATACTTTCAATGAAGTTGGATACAAAGCGTAGACGGAACGAGCAGGTTACAAGAACACGGCTTTACTCTTCGTTCCTATAGAGTTTTCAAGAAGTTTCGACATGTGTCCCACAACAGTAGCGCTCCACATATCCACAGTCTTCACTATATTGTATTTTGGAAATATTCTATCAAATGCTGTTTCTGGTAGTTACTTTGTTATTGTTTAGTAACTAATATATATATTTACTTTATTTTACATTTTTACTTGTCTAGACTAGCCTAAAAATGTCATTAACAGCATTATTCTTAAATAACTAACACAACTAATATCCTAACATGTAATTTAAATATACATATATACAAAAATTATATAGATAAGACAAACCCTCTTATTATACAACTACATCAGTCTAATTGTACCGTTTAAAAAAACTCTTCATCACAAACAGTTGACACTAAACATTATCTAGTTAAAATATTTTCAATAATACTAGTTGACCGGGCAAACGGCCTTTTTCCCTCTTTTTTTTTTTTAATAAAAAAATAGGGGTTTTTTGAAGGGGGGGTGACAGCATAATTAAGTTTTATGTATCATAAAAAGACTAAACAGAAAAATCTAGTTAAAAAAAAATTTGGGGGGGACCCCCCCAAATTTTGGGGGGGGGGGAAAAAAAATTTTTGCCGCTCCCCCCCCCCCCCCCCCCCCCCCCCAAATCCCCAAAAAACGGCGGGGGCCGGGCGGGGGGGGGGGGGGGCCCCCCCCCCCCCCCCCCAATATTATATATAATACTACGAATAAGTTTTAAAAAATTAGGTGGTATATCTTTCTTTCAGAAGCTGGTTTTGATTAAATGACGATTATTTTGATTGACTAACGAAATTAGTAAGCAATATCACGAAAATGATTATTTCTATTAATGTTATACAGTGACGATTCTTAAACTTTTAAAAACCCAAACTTAAGTCTAGTAACTTTAATAGTAGAAAAATGTTGCCATTTTGTAGTGCTGTGATTCGCTTCGTGAACTGCAGATGCTGTAAGTACGATGTTATGAGCTAATATGCGCTCGTAAGACATTCTGTACCTAAAATATTACATTCTAGTCGTTTTGAACATTTTAATATAATGTGTTGTATCAAGCGTATTTTACATTTCAACATTGTTTTACTATAAGACACGTAAAAATGGTATCTTTATTAAATACTCCATCATCAAAAATACAGGTAATTTGGTTATGTTGAATATAAAACATCTTTTGCGTATTATTTTATATCGAAACCACTGTCTAAACTCTTTAAGCTAGTGATAAGCGTGGGATAGTGCGTTCGTATGCCGGCCGCGCACCGTTGGATTTTTTTTATATATGTATAACGAACACATGCATACTGAAGAAATAATATAGCGAAGATCTTATTTCTTCAGTATACATGTTCTTCCTTATCACGTTAAGCACAGAAGGCACAAAACGTACGAAAGGAAAATTATCAATTAAACAAACGATGAAATGTCAATTTCCTATGTCCCGTTGGATGGTTAAAGGGGCTTTATACATTTTGGAAAACAACGTTAAATATTGCAGTGCTATATTATGGTAGCAGTCAAATATATCTCTGAAAATTACCTTATACAAACAAAACAAAAATATAGAATAAACAGTACACATTAAGGATTACTTAGCTCTGGCAACCGCAACTACCAAAGGTTAGTATCAAATGAAAACGCGGCCATTTATCTTTTACACTCATACATAAAACAAAGCCTGCACTTGATTCAGTGTTGCCAGTGCCTCCAGATTGTGTGCGCTACCACAACTTCCTGTTTCCGGCGCTGCTGCGCTTGCGTCCAGTGAATTTGGCGTTACCATAAACTTTACTACAATTTCATTTAAATTAAATTGGACTAAATATTTATCTCGTGCAATTCTGTATATAACGAATTGAAGTTGTTTTAATGTGGCGAATGATGTTGGAACATGGAACGATAGAGGTTTCAGGATCAGGATATTACTAAGATACAATACTTAGGTAGCTTAAAACACTCTAGTGTAGATGGTAAATGCGAATATATTGCGACATTTCGAGTAGTTTTCAGCAATTTATAACACTTAAAGATTTAATAGAAATAAAATAATACCTTCAAAATAATAACAATCGTTAAAGTTAAGAAGCTTAGACAGGATAACAAAATCCATAATCATAGCTATAAATAACTAGGTATCGTGAAGGGTGCAATTTAAAAATTCACGATGGTATTAAAACAAACGGGAGGTGAGCGGTACTTCAGAACTTGGATAAATCTTTCGTTCCGGCCGCAAAAACGAGCAGAAAACCTGGCACTTAAACAACGCTGTAATTTACAAGTATTAATATTGCGCGAAGGATTTGGCAAGAGTAGCGAAATATTACTATAGGAAAAGGGTAAGGAATGAAGAATCCCACATCCGTTGCCTTATAACATACTAATTTGTGGTAAAGATTTTAGGGGTTTCAGGCGTGCATAAGTTTTTCAATATTAAAGTATGAGATGTACTGCGTAATTAAGTAAGTACCAAATTATGATAATTTGCTATTTTCTCACATTATGTTGTACTTCAAAACTTCCTTTCGTAAAAATCAGTATAAACTCGCAAATGAATGTTAAAAATAATTAAGTCACATAATCCTCCCCGCATCAGTCTAATGGAATTTTCTTCAATTTAGTCGCATTCTTCATTTCTGAAGGTTTTAGTGCCTGTGTTGAATTGTGTTTACATACTGCGAAGGCCTATATAGACCTAAAATTAGTCTTGAGGATCGGCATTGGGCCTTCCACTCTACTGATCGCCTGAATTTTCTTAAGTAAAATTTCAATAATCGAGTCTATGATACATACGGTGGACAGCAAAAACAAATCAAGTTCCATCGTCACATGAATTATTTTTAATATTTTAACTAAAATTGTATTTACTCATCACATTTTATTAGTATTGTATTAATCGCTTTATGAAATACACAATCTTTTAATAGATTATCAAATTGCAATTTTTTACTGAGCATGCTTGAAACAAAATATTTGGCCAGTTATAAATCTTAATATATATATATTTCTTCTGTGCGTGTGTATGTGACTGAACTCCTCTCAAACGACTGGACCGAGTTTGATGAAATTTTTTGTGTGTGTTCAAGGGGATCTGGGAATGGTTTAGATTCACAAATCAGCCCGACAGATGGCGCTGCAGTCGGTACTTTCATACTTTGTTTAATATCTTAATCGGTTAAAATATCATGCAGGACAACGTCTGTGGGGTCCACTAGTTTAATATAAATATCCGTTACGTGGTATTATAGTATTCTCGTATATATGCGTTTTTATCATTTTGATAATTTACGTAAAACATGAACTTCTCGCGTTTATAAAAAGACAATATTATTTGACGATAGTGTAATTTTTTAAAATAAAGTGCTATTGGTATATCAGCTGTAACTTATACAATATTTGATTTAAACTTAACATTTTGTGTCATGCACACGCGGTTACTTACTGACGTATAAAATAAATATTTACAAAAAAGATGCGTATATCTAACCGGTTATAGCAGCAGGTCTGAATTTTTCTAAATATAATAAGATATGCATATAACTTTTAAAACGTAAAAAATCGTATCCTCTATCAAATAAGCAATGATCGTTTAAATAATAGCATTCTCACGGGATGCGTAAACAAGGGCATGGATAAATAAACAAACCCATAAAAACGTTATATATTTATCTTACCTGAATAATGAGCGTAAAAATTCAATGTTTAAAAACATCACTCAAGTTTATTATATTATTCTGACTATTCAATTAAAAAAATACAGATACATATGTTTAAAGTGCTTTACAATAAATTTATTTTAGTATTTAATTTTCTTTAATATTAATATAGGAGGCACGGTAAGATCAATATGAAGTCTTTATAAAATAAAAACATATAATACATTTACTTTTAAAATTAAGAAAATATAAAACAACTGTCAAATTTAGTGCGTAGTAATCTACCTATCATCAAGTCAGTCACGTCTGTGTCGATTTTATTGTGTTCCAGATTTGAATATAAAAATAATGTATTGGCTGGTTGATAAAAGGATTCTCAGACAACATATTTTATTATTACAACCTCTTTTTACAGCATTCAATCTTTGTAGCTAGTGTAAAGCTTTTTCGATAGATGGCAGTAAAATTAAGTAGTTTTTTTATTTTACTTTTTCACTCTATTACTTCTGCTTTTGAAATTAAGACCCGTACTTGGTAAAATCATTTGTAGGATTTGGAGATTCTTTATAACTCCATCAAAAAATTATAAAAAAATTGGATTTGGATTGATATCACATTATCATACCACATAATAATAATGGATTATCTTTGATATTTAAATGTATTTGAAATAATGACATATTTTTAAAACCATTATTTTAAT